TGTAGCGTTTGGAAATTTTTGGCGTGAAGCATAATTTTGAGGTCCGGCCCCGCCCCCTCAACATGCGTCGGTTTGCACCGTTTTGATAACTTTTGGTCCCCCATGCCTACTGAGCAAAATGGCGAAAGTTTGAAACCGATTGAACGAAATCCCTAGGAGGAGTTCATTCAAATTCGCCGTATACGAAAAGTGAAAAACGGCCAAAATTGACCCTTTGACCCAAAATGGCCGACTTCCTGTTTGGTTTAAGGCATACCTCCAAGAGACTATTTTTCTTGATCTGGTGGGTTGTACATGTGTACCAAATTTCAGCTCTCTAGGACATACCAGTTGTCATATCTCACGTTAGGGGGCGCTGTGGAGCAGTTTGGCCACGCCCACTTTTGTTTCCATTAAATACCTCAAATTTCTCGCGGGGGACAATTTTGGGTCAAATATGGTGAGTTTTGGGATATGTTAAGGCCTCCAAATTAGCGCTCTTTGACGGAAAAAAATTAGAAACGACACAATAACAATAGGCCTTCGCAGCGCTTAGCTGCTCGGGCCTAAGGCCTTCGCAGCGCTTAGCTGCTCGGGCCTAAAAAAACAACCGGAGCGCTATCTCTGCAGCCCACACATCAGACCAGCCCACCAGGAAATCTCCAGATCCTCCTGCAGCCACGCTGGACCTGAGTTTAATTCGCTCGTGACAAATTCCTTCATTTCTCACCATTTCAGTCATTGCATCAACGGAGGAGGAAGAAATCACTTGCCTCTTCAGAATCAGAATCAGAATAAACTTTATTGGCATTGCACTGAGATACAACGCGAATATGTACGTACAGTCGTCCGAAGATGGGCGGATTGCACAAAGCTGCAGCTATAAATAATTAGCACGGCCTTCTTATTCTTATTCAGAATAATATTTTGCTTAGATAAGAAAAGGAAAGAAAACATGAGGAGAGACGGTATAAAAAAAAGATCTCACACCGTATCCTAGACAGGGCACAATTTGAGGCCTCAAAAAAACCTACCACAGCAAAGCAACGTAAACAGACGTTATACATTTACATATAGATGGAGGCTGCACAGCTGCAGAAAGAAAAGCTTTGCAGAGAGTGGTGAAGGCTGCACAGAAATCTGTTGGAATCAGTCTCCCCACCATCATAGACATCTACACCTCCAGATGCAGGAAGAGGGCCACCTGCATCATGAAGGACCCCACCCACCCAGCACACACACTTTTTGCCCCACTCCCCTCAGGAAGGAGGTTAAGGAGCATTAAGTGTAGAACCACTAGACTGAGGAACAGCTTCTACCCTGAGGCTGTTAGACTCATGAATCTCTAACTAGAATAATCACTGTGAAAAACCACATCATGTTGCTGCTGATCTGTTTCATGTTGCTGCTGATCTGTTTCAATGTTGATGTGTTCATGCGTGCACATCTGTTCACAGACTCATGTTCATGTTTGTGCTGATGTTCAATGTTTTATGTT